CGTGAGTAACACTGAAGGAAGCTGGTCTCCCAAAGAACAGCCACGAGGGCAATTGAAAATAGCACTGTGGTAATTGATTGGTATTGTTCTAAGTCTTGCTTTCATTGTCAGCACCACACCTTGCCCTATTAGTCCTGCTGTTAACCTCTGCTCATGAAAGGGATTATGACTGTAGCTGCTGCAGGGTTTATTCTATTGCTGTCACTAATGACAGCTGTCTTGCTTGTTCATGACTGAGAACATTCTGATCATTCCTTGGTAATTATTTTGGTTCCCATGTGCCGAACAGGTGTTATGTCCCATGTTCAGCTGGAATCACTTATGAACGGTAAATCACAACTAAAGTAACACCAACCAAAGCAGAAGTTAGTCTCTTTGCGCTTCGTAATCGCTAGTGCCCCAGTCCAGCTCTTCGTTTGGAGCTGGATCAGGCCCAGGATGTCTCCAGCATCGGCAGAAGCTTCGTCCTTAGCTCCTGGCACGGTTTGTTTCACAGTCTGGGACTGGCCCCTTGAGAAGACTCTGTCTCCTGAATAGACGAGGAGAAAGAACCATTGTGCCAGAGGAGCAGAGCTGTTGACCACAGTACTCATCCTAGAGCTTTAGGAGATCTTTCAGATAGCCTGAGTGTCTTGAAGAAAAAGACCATGATCTTGAACTTGACTTGATATTCTATGGGAAGCCAGTTTAGAGAGCAAATGACAGGGCTGATGTGCTCCGTTGATCCTGGGGGCTGATCCTTAGGGCCTTTGTGAACATCTAAAAGCTAAGCAATGTACCTAGTACTACTAGCAGGAACAATTTCAGGTTTGCCTGTATCAAAGGTGTTGGTGCAAGTGCCCAGAATCGGTGTTCTTCATGGCAGACATTCCAGCGAACTGCGCACCCATCTTTCCGGGATCTTGGTGGCATTGCTGAACTTTAGTAATACCTGATCATGAAGGCCCCTTCTTACCTTAAAGTCTATAAGTCCATAAAGCCAAGCAGTGTCAGCAACTGAACAATATAAACGTGGACTGAAGAAGTCCAAAGCAGTAGAAATGTGGCTTGAAGCCATTTTAAGGACTGAAATCTACCAGGTTTCAGAGTAGCAGCTGTGTTAGTCTGTATCCGCAAAAAGAAAAGGAGGACTTGTGGCATCTTAGAGACTAACCAATTTATTTGAGCATAAGCTTTCGTGAGCTACAGCTCACTTCATCGGATGCATGCAGTGGAAAATACAGTGGGGAGATTGAAGTGAGCTGTAGCCCACGAAAGCTTATGCTCAAATAAATTGGTTAGTCTCTAAGGTGCCACAAGTCCTCCTTTTTATTTTTGCGAAATCTACCAGTACATCAAGGGCCTAAATGTTCACCATAGCTGGAAGAGGCTTGCAGGAATGACAGAAGCTCTAGGACATTGCCTCCTGACCAGTAATTGGCTGGGAAAAAGGCTTGACATTAACTCCAGGAGAATGGTTGCTATTCCTACTATTTGTGAATGACACCATGACCGGCTGATGAGTCATGTAGCCATTGAACTGTAGCAGAGTAATAATCACATGGGTATGATGCCGGATCCTCACCTCCTAGCACTTCATCATTGTTATATAATCGCCGGCCTTCCCCATTTCCTGTAGTGAGGCGTAATAGTGCAGAGTAGGCACAATAGCTAGGTGCACTGTTTGATTGTGCTAAACGCTGTAGCTGGGGGGTTCCACAGCTTTGATTTGGCCTGCAATAACTCAGAGGAATTCTGAGCCGGAGTGTCAAGGGGTGGCACATTGGGTCTAGATCCAGCACTGTAAAGAGTAAAAGGTTCTCTCTAATTTCTGTCAAACTACACTACTGGGCATGTTAGTTCTTTGGGATACCCCTTAAAATACTGTACTGGCCTGGGCCCCGGCCCTTAGCACAGTAGAGTAGCCTTCACTTTACAAAGTATTGGTTCAAAACGCCTAAACTATGGAAAAGAATAACAGCTGATTGAATCACCTCCTTGTCTTTGCCTTGTTTATTGCTGCCTTTTACCCCCATTCTTCTCCCCTTTTCCCTGTGGCTTTTTTTTGTTTCTTGTTCTCTTTCCTTCCACCTTTGTCCTCCCATTGCTCGGCTGACCATGCCATCACTGGGAAAAGCCTATAGGTATGTCCTATCCCTGTTCAGGTGATATTCACGAGAGCAATCCTCCTCGAGGCTGCCCAAGCTTTCTGCACTCCATGAAGTCTCCCCATCTGTAAAATGGGCTAACAACATCCCTGCTAAACAGGGCAGTTGGGAAATTTCATTCATTGCTGCTGGCAAAGCGTTTGGAGATCATTCGATGGAAAGAGCTAGAAACGGACAAGGTTATTCTAGAGAGGACCCCCATGAGTTCCTATCCAGTTTATCTGATGACTCATGGAACCTCTCTTTCCTGGCTGTAGATTAGATCTGAACATTTAAATTCCTTAGCAGACCTTCTCCTGGGTGCAAACTGCTGCAACGATTATAAATCTTTAAACTGAGCACATGGCTGAGGCCAGGCTACATGAGTTAACACAGGAAAAACAATCCTTAGAACACCTGTTGTGCAAACAGGATCTTTAAATCGCAGACAGCATAAGGCCTCGACGCTACAAAACGCAGCCCAGCATCAAAGAGTGACTTTAGCCTAGGGCCAAAGGAGGAGGATTTTTTGCCACAGAAACCCACTCTAGACTGTACCTCAGTCCAGGGAAGCCTAATTAACAGATGAGAGAGAGGCACAGAGAACTGGGCTGCTGACATGGGGTCTGTGCCAAAGCTCATTGAAGCCAGTGGTAGTATTTCCACTAACTTTGAATGGGCTCTGGGTCAGGAACTTGAACACCAGTGGAAAAATTATAATCTAGGCAATCTCTCTCCACTGCATGCAATTAACGCCCTTTGGACTTTCCGTTCTATTTTGAGCATGGGGGCAGCTTTGGCCGGGCTTGTTAAAAATCGGTTCAGCTGGCCGCAGCACTGAACGGATTATTCTTGGGCATGAAACAAGATGCCACATTAGGAAGCCAGCAAAGAGGTTTGTAGTGGGCAGGGATAACATCCGAATGGCATGGGGGGTTGCCCTTGGGGTGGGGGAAGTGTCTTGGCTGAAGCAGTTGGGGTTAATGCTTTGAATTTCGATAGCATCTCCTACCTGCGGATCTCAGAGCACTTTGCAAGCATTAATGCAGGTGGGAAAGCGTTCTAAAGACAGCCCAGCTTTGGTGTGACTCAGGACCACTCGTTTTCCCATCACTTTGGGCTGCAACCCAACAAGCCATAGCACAAGCTACAAAAAAGATCCCCAAAACATAACCAAGAGAGAGGCGACCCTGTCGTGCACACTAGCGCATGCTCCCCAGAAACCTGCTAGCATGGATGCAGGAGAGATCAAAATAAGCCCTTTGACCTGCTGCTTTATGTATTTATTTCCCATGCCACATTTTATTTCTTTGGCCTCCTCAGTTCAATTTGTGCATAATGATGGGAAAAGTGAAAGAAGCAGTTTGCTGGCCCAGCCCTGGAAAGCAGTCTGTTACGGCAGTCGATCAACAGTTCTTTCAGTTTTATTATTATTTACTTTATTTTAGAGCAAAGGAGGTTGGCCGGTTTCACGTTAAGTCACTTTTCGCGCTTCCCCAGGCAGTGTTTGCTGGGGAACGAGGCTGCCTGGCAGCTGTTAAGAATAATTTCTGCGGCTTCTGTCATCATTGGTTTTTCAGAGCTGTGGAGCCAGCGGTCACCTAAGAAGTTAGCACTTTCCCCACAGTGCTATCGGAGAGACGGCAGATAATTGAATAGGGAAAGGCCCATCGTGATGCTGGGCATTCCAGAGGAACTGGAAGAGCAAGGCCCCAAGGGGCTCGGCCCTTCACAAAACACACAGTGATAGGCAACCTCTGCCCCATGTGTCTTGTAAATAGATGAGATGGACAAAGCATAAGGAAGAAGGAAGGATAGTTCTCTCCCTCCCCCGTTTTTTAAACATATTGGGAATTGAGGCCCAGAAGATTAAGGGATTTGTCCAAGGTCACAAAGGGATCCTGTGTGGCAAAGTCAGGAATTGTTCCCAGATCTCCTGAGTGCCAGTCCAGTGTTGGAAGCACATGACCACACTTCCTCAACTGCATGGCAAAAGTAATCGGACAGCAAAGAGATCTCGCTGGGTGTGTGCGTGCACACAGTGATTTCCCCTAAAAACTTGTTCATTGCTTTAGACCAGCGGTTCCCAAACTCGTTCCGCCACTTGTGCAGGGAAAGCCCCTGGTGGGCCAGGCCGGTTTGTTTACCTGCCGCGTCCGCAGGTTTGGCTGATTGTGACTCCCGGTGGCTGCAGTTCGCTGCTCCAGGCCAATGGGAGCTGCTGGAAGTGGCGGCCAGCACGTTCCTCGGCCCGCGCTGCTTCCAGCAGCTCCCTTTGGCCTGGAGCAGCGAACTGGGGCCACTGGGAGCCGCGATCGGCCGAACCTGCGGACGCGGCAGGTAAACAAACCGGCCCGGCCCACCAGGGGCTTTCGCTGCACAAGCGGTGGAACAAGTTTGGGAACCGCTGCTTTCGACAGCTAAAGTATTTGTAGTTGTCTATTCTGTACCTGAAGAACAAGGGAATAACACAACTGTCTGTATTTAATTTAGATACAGCTGGCCAAGTTCTAAGGCACAACATCATAAAATACATCCTACTGTAGCAGGTTTATAAAGATCTTCTGGGCGTTAAGCAGACAGCACCTGATCATGACGTTCTCATTGTATTTCCCCAGAGACAAAAATAACAGACAGACAACCTCCCGCTCACCTTTGGAAGCTGAAGTCCTGATGTCAAATGCCAGAACGGTGATCAGTCTGGGCGCATTCAGTGTATTGAGGATCTAGCGTGCCCTCGCTGGGGAGGTGTGCGTGGGCATGTGTGAGTCAAACACAATCCCCCCAGGCAATCAGCCACTGGAGATGAGTCAATCTGTTCCACACGTGTCAGTCACCCTGGGGCTGGTGGGGAAACCAAGGTAAACAAAGCAATGCTTGAAAAAGCCAGCTGTGTACAACGGTTGGCAATGGCTGGGTTGGGTTAAAATCTTCCTGGCTTGTTTTCCTCTCAAAAGTCTTCATCAGATAAAGGCTTAGAATATTTGAAGGTTTACTTTCCTTCAAAGATGGCAAAAGAGCCAGAGCCTCACCTGGTGTAAGCTGATGTTGCTCTATTGTCTTCAGTAAAGAGATACCAATTTACACCTGCCAATGATCTGGCCCTGAGCTAAGCAGCATCTGTTGCTTGGGTATTTCAGGGGATGCATCGTGGTGGGCACCGGCACTAAGTTATTCATTTTGTTCCCACTTCAGCAAAGCTCTTATACACGGGCTTAAGCCATTCGGAGTTTTTTAAATTGACTAAAAATTACAATCGGACCTAAATACCTTTAAATAAGCATCTCTGCTTTGTCTAAGATACACACTGGCTGCTCCCCGACATGGCTGATGTCTGAAAAGTACTATGGACACAAACATTATACACAAATCTCTTGCTGCTATTGTTCATGGCTCCTACTGCATAGTTCGGATGCCCCAAGGCAGGAGAGGAGTTGTATATCTGTTAAGTGGCTTATCTGTTCAGTTCTACTTCCTCCATGTCAGGTCTCCTGCTTTTAGTGTCATCTGTACATTCGACATCAGCAAAATCTCAAGTTAAACCTTAAAAAAAAAAAAAATTCTCGCAGGTTGACTTTAGGAGCTGTATATTAGGCCAGATAAAAAGCACCTACGAAAGAATGAGGTAACTCCAGGTTTAACCCAAAAAACAATTAAACCCCACATTTCTTATTCCTAAAATCCACCCTTCTGGCCTTAGAGACATATAGAATTTAACAAGGATGAGGGAAGGGGTTGATTTTCAAAGGCACAAATTGAGTTAGGTGCCCAATTCTTACTGAAAGTCACTGGGCTTTAGTCAGCTCATGTGCCCCCAAACTGAGAAGACACTATAGCACTTCACAGCAGTTAGTGCAAAACCCTATAATGCTTGATGGAGAATGAGATTCTTTCGAAAGGATTATTTTGAGCTATCCTATAGAATTATCTAGCAAGCATATGCATTTTATAGGACAGTTCAGTGAACCTATGGAGAGCTTATCATGCTCCGTTAACTTCTAGCAGGGCACGTCCATTAAAACAAAACCACTTTTTCAGCCAGGATCAAGGCGGGTGAATCCCATCTCTCACTGGAAGTCTGGGGACAGCCCCTTTCTTTCTACAGATCCAACATGATTTCAAGTAATTTGTCCTGAATGAAGAATCAGGAGAAAAATAATTCCCCTTCCTAAAATTGCTGGACTTGCTAACACAGAGAATATTTGTTTCATAAAGTCTATTATCCTCTGTGGTGGAATTGTAAGCCAAGACATATTTAACATGAACTACTTAAAACTAGACTAGACCAGACTCGACAAAGCACTGGACAAACATACTAGAGAGGGGACAGGCTTGCACAGACACAGGGGAGAAGATAAGCAAATCGGTGTTTCCCATAATCTGATTCTATAAACAGCAAACTACTACATACAGTAAATGAGCAGGTATTGCTGTAACCCTATTTCTCACCAATGACCTTCCAACCTGCTTTGTCTGTCAAAAGAGAAACCGCCCCCTAGTGGAAATGTACTTGCAGTCAATGGAATGATTCACTTATAATTGGGAAAGCCAGGTGATACAGGTAAGTCACCTCCAGACAGGAAGGTATAAAAGACACCTGAATAAGAGAGGCAGGACACTCACACATACACTGGGAGCAGCTGGAGATCATTCACCCTACCAGATCAACCTCACCTGGAAGCTTATCCACAAACTAGCAGGAGACTTGGATATCAGAAGACAAGCAGAGACGACTTATGAATAAAAAAAGCTGAGACTAAACACATCCTCTGAGGAGGAGAAACATCAGGGATAGAAATCAAGAGACATAACATGCTTTTCACCTGCTAAACTGCACTCCGTACAGGTAATTATAGACTTTAATCTCAGTTATATAGTTCTTAACTCTGCATTCGGTTGCTTGGAGCTGGGGAATTGGATTACACAGCATTAGTGGCCACTGTGTTTTCTTTGTCTTAGTTTTATGGTCAAGAAGGAAATTTAAGAGCTTTGCTTGGAAGTAAAACTACTTAATGCTTTGTGCAACAGCCTGAAATAGGCGAGTGATTTTGAATTTGATGAGTTACTGTGTCTTTTTTCATGGTTCACTTATTTACTGAAGTGGAAAAGGCTTGTGGAAAACTTTGAATGACATTCTGGGGCAAATCGGCATTGCTTTGTTAAAGCCTGTGGGGTGATGCCAGTTTAATTAACTACCAGGAGTGTCCAGGTTTCTACTGATTCTGCAATGACTTATGGAGCACTAGTAAAAATTCTTTACCAAACTTTTTAGGCTTCAGGCCATATTAAGTCATGCAGAACTCAGCGATTTCATCGCTGAGGCTGGTGCAAACATCCTTCTTCATCGTCTGTCCATGTGGGTTCTCAATCCTTGTGCCCCAAACGCTGAAAGTTAAACTCAGGTGAAATGGCCGTGTTTTACTGGATGGAGTTTTGAGAAACCGCAAAGTGCGTGTGATTTTGATTAAAAGCTAGGAAATCTGCCTCAAGTTCTCTCCAAACTGGGCCCGGGTTTGTGAACGGTTTGAAAACGGTTGCGATGGAACTAGAAACCAGGCCAGCTTCAAGTTCCGTTGCCCCCCCCTCGCAAAAAAAAAATTAAAATGATGCTAGGATTTGCTGAAGAGCCTTGGCAGATGTTAACAAGGGCCACCAGGTGACCTGTCGAATCAAGGATTTACTAGGTAACCCTGCAATTAAAAAGTGGTGGTGCACACAGGTGGGGGGGGGGGGAGAGCGAAAGGGTGCTGCCACTGATGAGCTAAATTATCCTCATTAAATGACCAGGTTGTGTCTCCTAGATGTATAATCTGGATACCTAAAATTAAGTCTCGCAAGACTAGCTGTAATAGAGCAGTACTTTATTTCTGGCATGATGGGGAGAGGGAAACATGCACACGCTTACTTATGTACATGGAGGAACAAGGCTGGATTTTAATACCTTAAAGTTAGCTCCTGAGTCACTCTAGGGGTAATTCACCAGCCTCGGGCAAGGATCTCCTCATCTTAAGCAATGCAAGAGGCTATCAGGGTTGTGCTATGAACACCCCTGGCATGTCATCCATATGCCACCTGGTTTTCAAAGCCAAGCAAACAGGCTTGCCCAGTTCAGCGCATAGTCAGAAATGAATGCTCCCCCGGCATTCATGCGGGAATCCTCCAATTAAATGTCTACGCTCCAGGACAAACTTTTAAATGCCCCATAAGACAGGATAGCTAGCTGCCATGTTGTCATGGAGAAAATAGCCTCCAACAGGGAGGCCAGGTTTATGCACACAAACTGGAGTGACTCCGTCGGAGGTTGGGAATTAACTCGCTGCCAGGGTGGCAACATTAGCACTCTCTACCAGAACTCCCACTTGCTCTCAGATGTCCTTGGGGACAGAAAGCACTGTGCACCATGTAGCTACAGGCAGGCTGGTACTTTCAGTCAGAGTGGATGAGAACACAGAAGCAGCTTCCTTATGAGGTAGCAATAGGACAACAAGGAAATAGCTCAGGGGGAAATTCTCCCCACGCGGGATCCTGAGGGAATTTCCTTAGGCAACTTTTTTGCCATGTCATGGTTACAAGGCAGGTAAGATTTCCCGCCCCCCGTTGGGGTCGAGAGAGCAGAGGACAGACCTGATCTTGCAAAGTGCCTGGGTGCCCTCAACTCCCATGAGGGCATGCTGGAGAGGACACTCAGGCAAGCATGAAGGCACCTGGTTGGTGGTGCTGACTGTCAGCTGGAGGGGATGTTTTATTAACCCATGGGGGCACTGTATCAATGAATACAATTTATCTATTTATCTTAGGCTTTTGCACGGGTGCCTGCCACCGTAATACCTGAGCGCCTCCCAGGCTAATAGATTGGCATAGCAAAGTCCCTAGTTGACTTCATGGAGTCTTCTGCTCTTCTCCTCCCTTCTCAGATTATGGGAAGCGGCACTTGGGGTATGTGTTTTGGTTTCTGTTGGCAATGGGAGGTTTGTGGGGGAAGACAGCAGTCGTAAACTCTCTCCCCGTGGCTGTGGTGAAAAAGTTTTGGCCTGATGCTGGCTTAGCCTTTTGTCTGCTGGTGGCTTGTCTCTGTTCCAACACACACTTTTTCTGGATGAGGATTGCAGGCTTGGGGGAAGAGGTGTCTTATTTTCATATTTATCAACTGCAATTTCAGCTCTGTTAGAATTGCAGCTCTCAAGGGAGCCATGCCCACGCTTACATAGGACTAGTCTTTCTAAGGTCTTGGGGAAACGTAACAAAAATTAAAGTGTTCCACCCCCTTTATCTAGCTTCTGACACTACTTTGTCTGTCTCCTCAGGGTCGGTCATGTCGTGCTTCCCCCAAATGCGGCGCACCGAGACGCCAGATTCCCCCACCAGCCCCGTTCCTGCCGCTCTGGATGAAATCCCCATTCCTATTAGCCCCATCATAGTCACCTCCCCCACCGACAGCAGAAAGCTCAGCTCCCCGACGTCCAGCCTTGCCTCCCCCAAACCGACCTCCCCCATCGAGTGCTCCATCTGCTTCAATACCTACGACAACAGCTTCAAGACACCCAAGCTGCTCCAATGCTCGCATGTCTTCTGTCTGGAGTGCGTGGCCCGCTTGACCTCGGCCCTGCCCCAGCCCCGTGTTGAGGACCAGCTGCCCTGCCCCCTCTGCAGGCAGCTCACGGAGATTCCCCTTGAGGGCCCTCCGGCTCTCCAGACCAGCCAGGAGCTCCTGTCCACCCTGCCCCCCGAGTACCAACGGGAGAAGGTGGTGTGGATGGAAGGCAGCAAGCTGTGCTGCAGGCAGTCATCCCAGGACCCAGAAGACCCCGACGCATGCATCTGCCTTGACGTGGCCATGAGCAAGCCCAATCCCCCCATGACGCCGACAGAGGGCATGGCTGGGAGGCTGTCCCGCTGTGCCATGTGCGACGACTGGAAACGCATCGTCCTCCTCTCGGCCCTGGTCATCATTTTGCTGTGCATCATTCTGTGGCCGGTGCAGTGTGCCCTGAAAACTGGGAACCTCCGCTGCTTCTCAAGGACGGTTACTTTCAGCAGGCCAAACCCTGTTTCGTTTACAACCCCGCCAGTGCCTGGGACCAGCCCGCCCTCTCGCTAACGCCTCACCCCACTGAGCTAGGTCAAGCCGCTGCCTACTGGATTTCACCAACATACCTCACTGCCAAGCTGTAGCAGCCCCTGTTCCCGGCCTACACACGGCTCCACCTCTGCACTGGGAATGTCACCTGAACCTACACGGTTAATCCAGCCCCTCGCTTTCACACAGCTCTGCCATGCAAAGGCGGGGGGTGGGTGGGAGAGAGAGGAGAGATTCGTGCATAGCCGTATATTGATCCACTGCTTCACCTAAATCTCTAGCCCTCCAAAACGCTGCACAGATAACGGAGCCTTGAAGACTTGCACAAGGGCACGTTTCTACAACTGCTGCTTCCTGGGAAAGGTGCACATGCCTCAAACTGCGGGGCTGTTGCCGTCAGGATACAGCTGTGAATGGGCTCGGCCCTTTCAACTCACTGATGGAAAGGAAGGGCTAACGGAAGGGTTGTTTTCTTGGAAACCGACAACGCTGAAAACGGGCCTGGATGGGATTATTTCTCAGGGAGAGAAATCCATCTGCCCTGGGAAAGAAGCATGCTAAAGCTGTCTGTATCTATAAAGTGACAATATTTAATTTTATACCATGTGCTTTATTAAACATTTCAATAGTAGATTGGTTAGTGTTAAACCTATTGCTGGGAGGTGTTATTTACCTGCCTCTGCTTGATATTTGGGTTAGTACTAGCTCTTTACTCTGCTCAGCAAAACAAGACTCAGCTCCAAGAAGACCCTGCTCTCCTGACCAGGCACTTGGGCTTTAAAGTTCTTTGTAATTTTTTTTGTGGAATTGCCCACAAATGAGGTTCTTAAAAACAGAAATTTCTGCATATTTTTGTTGCAAAGCCATCTCTGCTTAATATTCAGCTGGACCACTTTTTTTTTAATTCAAACCCAAACAGGGGATGGGAGGGAGTAGTTTATTTCGCTAACATGCAAAAAGCCTAGCCCTCTCAGGGGTTACCATTTCAGAGAGAATTTTGCACAGCTCAATTTAAAATGTAGTAGCCGACGTACAAGAGAAAAACTAGATCATTCTCCCAGACATCGCAAAAATGTCAGTCTAGCTCTGTAACTTTAATACCATCACCTTTTAAAACCACTAGGGTACGATACAGGGCAGTTGCTCCAACTAGGTGTTTAATGGGATGACTTCTGCGTTGCTCAGACGTGAGGGGCTCAGTGAGCAATAAGCCATTGTTAGAGTAAAGGGACCTGATAATGCAGTTTAAGAGAATAATTTAACATAGCCAGCATTAGATGCAAGTGCTGTAATGGCGTTTAGATGCTTTGTACATTTTACAGAGGTGTCACTGGCTGCAGAAGTTAACCCCATGACTTTGCTCCTTCTTCTAGGTGCTCTTTAGGGGTGTTAAGCTTAAAATCCAGATCAGATGCTAATTGCATTTCCACAAATTCTGCAACAATCCAGTACTCAGTGCCCGGCTGAATACAATAAGCCAAGATAGAGGCTCAGAAGTGCTCTAAAGTAATAAATGTTTACACTGATCATCAACTTGCAACTACACTCCCCCACCCTCAGTGGCCCTGCTGCAGTCTGGTCATATTATTGCAGCCATCTGAATGGAGGGAGAAAGTTCATTTTGTGGGCTGGCCATCCTTTCCCTCTCTCCAGATGGAAAAAACAAAGCCAGATCCCCTGCTCATCTCTCCTCTGCCATCAAAGCTGTAAAGCGGGATTGGAATAGGATACCATGCTGCAGCCAGGGGTGACCTGGGAGCTTTCCCAGGCAGGATTTCAGCAGGGTCCTGGCTGCTGCAACAGATTCAATATGTTGACAATTTATAGCAAGCTTTAAAAGGCGGGTATTGTCCAGCCCAGTTCCCTTGCCACTGGACCCAGGGCTTTTAACGCAGTGTCAGTCAGAACCATTTGGGTTGCCAGGGACTCTTGGGTGATCTTGTCCATCCCCCCAGACTACCACTGAAGTCTCAGCAGTAGAGGCCAGATGACAAATGCCTGCATAGCATCAGAGGAGAAGGAATGTGACGGGGGCCAGCCGTCCTTCGTCACTGTACAAACATCTGACTGCCATATGCTCCCCATACTTCCCTCTCCAAACAATGGCCCAGGTAGAGCCTGTCAACCTGCCACAATCACATCCATTCCCACTGATTTACCTCATCAACTACGGTATCCACACATGTCCATCCCACGTGCAGCCCTTTAATACCCCTCACTTCCCCGCTTGCTGCCACATTTTACGCTGGAGGGTCGGGACAGCTTTGGGAGAACTGGTAATGGGCTACAGAGGCTCACGCTGAAGCTGCTGGTTCAGAGCTAGCCCAAAATTGTTTGGGCCACTTGAGAGGGACTCTGATCGAGGTCTAAGAGGAGCAGTTTTTTTGGGTAAGAGGCCTGGCACCCACTGGCATCATACCCCCCTTCAAATGCCCATCGGTCACTTTCACAAGCATTTCAAACTTAAATAGAAAAAAAACCTTTAGAATAGTCAACATTTATTAAAAGTGCAATAAAAATAAACTGTTTTCTTGTCCCTGTGACAAACAACTGAAGACGCCGGCCGGTAAATACAGCCCCGTTCCATCGGTGTTCTCTTTGTTCAACCCCTGCAGTGCTGGGAGAGCAGCTACTCCAGCACTGCAAGCTAAAGCCACTGCCCAGCACATCCCTTAACCCACACAGCCAAGGAAGAACGTTTCTTTTTTCCATTATCAGCTGCCCAAGACAGGGTCTCCTGGTTTCGGCCCGGACATTCAGACCCTGGGCAATGTCACGTAGCAAGGAGTCCGGCAGAAAAGGAGGTTCTTTGGCAGAGCGGTTTGCAGGCCCAGGGCTGCAAGAGCAGGAAGTGCTGTCAGTGAAAATTGAGGTGCGCGAACAGAGCCGGAATATTAACATTCCAAAGCATGCTCTCTCTTTTCTTCTTCGCGGTGCTGTACAAATATTAATCATTGCCCACAGCTCCCCTATTTCGTATGCATAGCATTAGGCTCAGCAGACAAACATGGGGAAACTAACACAGGGCATCCAGCAAGACAGCAATAGAGTCAGGAAGAGAACTCAGCAGAACTCTAAGCCCTAATGTGCTGATGGTACATGGGATGTTGCCCTCTGGTTGCCGAGTGCACAGATAAGTTACCTCCCTACTGCTTTTACCACCAGCTACAGATCTCTTTTAGCTCCCGCGGCAGAGGCCTGTGTTGGTAGAGATGAGGGTTCTCACGCTGGCTCCTCACTCATGTGCGTGTCAGAAACTGTGCAGCATGGGGATTTTGCTACCAGACAGACAAGTCCACTGCTCCACACTGCTTCTCTGCATGCTGCAATAGCAAGGGTTGCTCCAGGACCAGGAGCTAGGCGCTTTGGCAGATTGCATAAGTGCCCAAGCCTAGCACAGCAGAAAGGAGGTGCATTTTCTAAAGGAATGAGGGCATTTACACAGCGGCTATTTGCACTATACCTAGGTCCAGTCCACATGCCCAGTCCATCTCTTCCATGGCAGTGGAGTTAACCCAAGACTCAGTTTAAACACCTCTAGCTGAGACACGACCGACCTCATGAAGCTGTGAAGTGCAGCAACACCCCGGTGATTGTCCTGAGCAGACAAAGCTCCTAAACACGTTGTCATTTTATTTTAACTTTTTACAAAACCAATTTCTTTAAAAATTAAATTAATTTCTTTTAAACAAAAAAAAAAATTAAAACTGAGCTTTTACGCCCTACAAACATCCAGAGGCACTTGCGCATAAATATCGGCCTACGTGAAAAAGGGACCGGGAAAGGTCGCTCCTGTGAATAAGTTAGATTGAGGCGTGTTCCCGAGGCGAGGACTCTGCCCTGCTCAGATGCTTTCAGCATTTTGGTTCCTCGCTGGATCCAAGGTGCTTGAAGGGGTGCGGAGGCGCAAGGGTCGAGGGAGGCAGCGATGACAGAACTTGGCAAGTGTGGACGTAAACACTGTAAATCCTAAGATCCAAAACGAGAGGAGAGAGGTGGTGTCAGCTATTATGTATAGCGGAGTGGGACACACACAGGAGAAAGACGATGCTCCCAGTACCCATGTGTATGTCTCTCTCACTGCGGGATGCAATCAGAGGGGTGACTGCAGCTCAAGCAGACATACCTGCATTAGCAGGACTAAAACCAGCAATATAGATGTGGTGGCATGGCTTTCAGCAACACAAGTAGGTACCCAGGGTTCTAGATGCCTGCGCTGAAGTCCATGTCTACTCACGCTGCAATCCCACCAGACTGCAGTGTAGACAAACCCTTAGAGTCTACACTAGGGAAACAACCTCAGCTCGCATTGTGGGTCTCAGTGTAAGGCAGTTTTCAAAAAATATTTTTTTTTTAAGCCTTGCCCCATTTCTCCCCAGCCCATCACCAGCTGGGCACTGCCCAGGAGCTGCACAAACATTTTTAAGGTCTGTTAAACTGACTCAGAACATAGCTGGTTTTCCCTGGGTAGATGGGGCCACGCACTTCATGATGTCGAACAGGGACTAGAGCCAACAGAACCCTGGTGGGGTTTAGTGCCGACCTCAGAGAATGAACGTACCTGTGCAGCCTCCATCCAGCTCCCCTTCCGGCCCATTTATCTCCCTGCATTATTCAACCCTGAAACCTTTGAGCTTTTGATGTTCAGGTTCTCGTAGACTGTGGCTGAGTCATCATCGTCGACCCTGGAAAGATACGCAAAGCCTTGCCATGAGTAACCTTCTTACTCTTCATTCCTTCCTCAGAGCAGGTTGCCTGGAGGCATTTGAACAGAATTCCAAGCCTTCCCCCCCACAGCCTGGTAGACGGCAAGACCGGGAATTACCCCAATGCCCATTTACACCCACACACTTCATGCCTGCCGTCCCTCAGACATTTAATGTACACACAAACTGGGCCCTGAACATTCATCCAAGATGCAAGCCTTTATATATGCATCCAACACTGGGATGTGATCGGAGTGAGAATATCACCCATACTTCCTATAGGTCTAAAGACAGGGCTGAGTGAAAACGATGGACCTTCTGGAGGGGGGAGGTGGATAGGAACCTGGATCCAGATCTATTTTTGCAAACCAACCTTTTTGTTCAGAATGGGTCCAACCAAAATCCCAGATCCAAGTAACCCCGAACTTCACTTGAAATCCAGCCCCGACTTTGTGAAACAATACGCGATACGCAACATTCAGGAAGGAGGGAATAGTTTTCTTTGGCTTTGTCCCACCTGTGATCCCTCCCTACCTTCACCTTGAGCTTCATTTAGAGTTTCAGATTCAAACGCAGCCAAGAGCTCCAAGTGAAACTGCCAAGATTTTGAATATTTAGACAGGTGCCATCGGCCCAGCAGGGTCCATCTTGGATGAGTGAGTGGAGATACTCAAACCCTGCCCCTCCCATTCAGAAATTCCAAGGCCAGAAGGAACCACTGTGACCCTCTCGTCTGACCTTCTGCATAGCACAGGTCAGAGAACTGCCCCAAAGTCATTCCTTTTAAACTAGAAAATCTCTTTAAAAATGGTGGTTTTCAACCTGCAGTCCATGGACCCCTGGGAGTCCACAGACTATGTCTAAGATTTCCAAAGGGGTCGGCACCTGTGTTTGGAATTTTTTTTAGGAGTCCGCAAATGAAAAAAAAAAAAGATCGAAAAACCACAGCTTTAAAACAAACAAACAACAAAAAAAGTTACCAGTGGTGGGAAATCCATTGCTTATATGGGACACTCTCCCTGCTCATCACTCTCTTATCTAAAAGAAGAGAGATCAGTGTAGAACTTCTACTGTCCACAAAGGGCCTCAGCAGCACTGGATGAAGTGTATCCACCTAATGCTTTTTCACATGAAAAATGCAGACTCGGCAACCGGGAAACATTTGGCAAATTCCCATTGGTTTTGCCAAATTGCTTCGGTGGAAAAAGACTAAATAAATAAATGAAAATTGAAATGTTTCATTTGGACATTTTCCAAACAAATGGCCTTGGGTTTTTCAATTGGAACACCTGAGATTTTGTTTTTAAAATTCAACGTTAAAAAAATGCTTGAAATCCAGTGTTTTGGGTGCCCCTAAATTAATTTTTATTTTATTGTTCAGAGTTCCCAGTGAACTGAAAAGTGCATTATTCGCTCAGTCCTCTGCTTCTCCGGGCTCGGGCTCACCTCTCCCTGCAACTCATCCTGCCTACACGCCCGCTCTCTCTTTCTTGTGCTCTGTGCTATATTATTGCTACACTTCTCCCCTCCTTCCTCTCTCCCGCGGCTCATGGGACATTTCCAAGAAAAAGGGGCTTAAGTAATTGCAGACTGAACATCCCTATGGTAGCTGCAAAAATGGGATAGACCAGCAGGCCAGGGCCTTGCTATGTTTGATACATATTTACATGGCCAGTTATAGCCACTCTCTTCCCGCTAGTGTGCTTAAAAGCGGTCCCAGGTGGAAGGAAGCAGCTGCGTGAAAGATGGCGGCCACTGGGGGCTATGGTGATTCAGACCCATCTGCTCCCCGTCCAGTCAGTAATCTCCCTCCCTCCAAGCAAACTTACACAGAGACACGTGGTGGGGGCGGCTGCCCTTTGGTTCTGGCTTTATCCATAGGAGGGTGCCGGATAT